CTTGAAATATTTCCTTAAATTCCATAAATATTTATTTCCTATTGCAAGCCCTTCAACTTTTGCCAATTACACAATCAAACCACTAATTATGAATTCTTTCAAGAATTCACCTTAACTTTTCTATTAAATTCATAATGACCCTTCACCATTATGATCATTGCATTTTAATTTCTATAATTTCCACCACCTTCATGAAATTCTCAAATCAATACTTTAACATAAAAAAATCTGCAATTTCATCCTAAACATTCTTAGACTTTTCGAATTCAACCACCAAACTTGATAAACTTACAATTCGATCCCAACTCAATATTTAATCTCAAAAATCAGCACATAAATAAAATTTTCAGCAATGTACTATTTTACTCAAATGATACTTTCACATTTAAAAACTTGAAATAAAGTCCCTATAATATTGAGACATTTGAATTTTACCCTTAAACTTTAACAAACTTGCCAGTTGGTTCCAATCAACATTCTAACTTAAATTTCCAGCATTTCAAAAATTAAAAATCAGCATTGAACCCTTCAAATATCTCATTCTTACAATAATGTCCAATCCTTCTCAAATTTGTAAACTAGCCCTTTTTCTTATCCAAGCTTCCAAAATGATCTCTAAATTACATAGAACACTTCTAATATCATTTCTAGACCATAGGAAAAAATTTCAATATTTTCCCCTAATTTCCCCTTATGGATGAATATAACAAGTCTTATAGGGCTTGATTTTTATTTCATTTCAAGCATGAATTCAACTTCCTTAGATTAAATTCATGTTATTCTAACCATAACAACATCAAATTACATCAAAATCAACCAATTTCATTAAAACCTAAACATGGGCAAGCACTCCACAAAGCTTTACACATGATTTTAAACAACACACATGCCTTAGAATTAATCTCCAACATCAAAAACATAAAAATCTTTCATTAATTCTTCAAACCCCATAAACCCTACATAAACCCTAATCACCAAAACTCAAAATCCAAGCATGTTTAACATGAATTACTTATACCAAATGATAGAGAATTTAAAGTAGATTAATTCTCTATCTAATAGCTTAATCCAAAAACTAATCATGTAGCTTTAAAAATCAAAATGAAATTTCTTACCTTGGAACCATGTAGGTTTCGGCCAAGAGAGAAGAACAAGCTGAAAAATGTTGACTCTTGTTCATTATTCTAGTATTTAATAACTTGTACACTTGGCATTTTTATAATATAATTGAATTTAAAATTCAATTAATGAAAATTTCCAAAAATAACATTAATGAAACTTGAAAATTACCAAATACCATTGCATTATCTTTCATTAAAATATTCCTTATTCAAAGATGAATCAACTTGGCTTTGAACTTCTATTTTGGCCATGTAATTTTCAAAAATTACATTTTAGTTACTAAAATTCCACTGCTTGACACAAATCTGAAAAATTACGCTGGTCTGAGCTAAACTTCTCTAATATAAAATATGAAAATAATATTTCCAACCATTTTCTAACATCATTCAAATTTTCGTGAAATTCTGACTCGATCCGATTATTCAATTCTTATACTGAACTTTATCGCTTTAACTTTTTTTGCTCATCTCCGATCAAAATATGATTGTCATAAAAACTCCAAAATTAGGAATAAGCTATTCATTTATGAAATAAAATTCTTTTTGGAAAAATTATCACTTTGATGCTTGAACTTTTCTAAGTTTATACTTTAGCCATCAAACTTTCAAAATTTACATTTAGGTCACTTTTCAAAATGTGGGTATTACACTCTCTTTATCATTATGTCATGGGCAAGTTATATTACTTGGCTTTTACACGTTCGTACATTTCCTTTTCCATCAATCGTCTCTCTCAGGCTATGCACCAACCTATAATGTCTCATTGGATGGCTCTCAAACGTATTTTATGACATCTTCAACATACTGCTACATTTGGCCTTCGAATTTCTCAAAAAATTGTTCACCGTTTAATTGCATACTCTGACTCTGATTGGGTGGGGGTGGTGACCCCATTGATCACACATCTACCACTGATTATTTTGTTTATCTAGGCTCTACTCCTATTTCTTGGCCTTCCAAAAAACTACGACCTGTTTCACGTTCCTCCACCGAAGCAAAATATCGTGTCGTTGCTGCAACAGTCTCTGAGATAAATTGGCTCACCAACCTTTCTAAATTACAATTTCCAATTACAGTTATTCCAAAAATCTTTTGTAATAATGTTAGTACTACTTACATTTGTGCCAATCCTCCAATCTTTCATAGTCGAATGAAGCATGTTGCTATTGATTTTCATTTTGTATGTGAACAAGTTGAAAAAGGCCGTCTTGAAGTTTATCATCTTCATGTTGCGGACCAGGTTACTGATCTACTCACCAAACCAATATCTCAAGTTGCCTTCCATCGTCACTTTTCCAAGTTGGGCGTTGATGACTTCACTTCTAACTTAAGGGGGCGTAAAGACTCAATCATTTGAATTTCAAATATTGGTTCTTAATTTGTTATTACTTTTGTTTTTTTTTTGTTTTTTCGTTTGATTTTTAAATTTATTTACTTTATATTTTCTTGTTGATAATGTGATTTGGTTGGGGTTCTTCCTATATACACCCTTTGACCATGTTCAATAAAATCATTCTTTAATTCATCTTCTACCTTGCTCCTTTAGCTACCGCATCTTATTGACATGATGAGGAGAGATTGGAACCTACAATTCTATCATGTTCCTTGCGAAGGAAACAGCATGGCAGACGCAATGGCCAAGGTGGCCCATGTTTTATATATATATATATATATATATATATATTAGTTAAATTTTGGACAGTGCCGGGTTGAGCTATAGCTTAAAAGGTTCTGTCCAAGGCCCAACTCAAATTAAGAATGGGTTTTCTTTTCAAACCTAAGTTATTTTTTTAATTCGCTTTGGCTCAAAAAGGAATGAATTTGGTTTGAAGAATTAACTTGGAATCATATATGTAGATCGTCAAAAAAAAGAAAGAAAGAAAGGGGATCAGAACTAAGGAATAAAAGCATAAAGTACATAAAAGAGAGGCTGGAATACTTGGTTCCATTTGACGGAAATGGATGCAACAATAACTAGGATTGAAACGATTAACGCTGTAGAAGTAAAAATTGGAATAATATTTAAATATACTACAATTCTCAGGAAAAAAAGTCTCATCTTTTAATTCTAAAACCTTGTTGTTCGTTCCTAAAAAAAATAATAAAACCTTGTTGTTCGATAGTCAGAAATAAACACAAAATTTTATATTAAGAGGATAAATTTTTAAAATTTTAGAAGGGAATGAACTTATAAAATTTAAAAGGATAAAAACAAATTAAAAATATAAAATATAAAAAATTTATTGGTAGGTGTCGAATCCAACAAATAATAATACTTACCTTTTAGAAATATAAATTGTAGTAATAATAAGCAAGGTCGAATTTATAGGGATTGGGTAGACTTATTTTAATGAAAATTAAAGCAAGGAAAAAAGGGTTTTGAAATTGAGAAAAATAAAGACAAAAAGCAATTATAATAAACTAAGAATTTAGAGAAATTAATATTAAGGAAATATCCAACTAAAGGTATAATTTCATAATTGATTCAGAGAATTGATCATAGATGCAATGATAAAATCTTCTACTTCTCACTAAATTGGTTATGGTTATTGAGAAGCTCTAACAACCTGTCTCTCCTTAGTTTCTCGATAATCAAGAGAAGCTCTTTGATTATTTCCCTAGTTAATGAACAACCCTAGACAAGCTCTTAAGATTTAATCCACCAATAGCATTAATCACTAGAGGGACCACCAATTCTAGCCAACAAATACGCAAGCTCGATTCATTTAGACTAGGTTATATACCTTCATAACATAATCATAATCAACCATGTTACTTTACCACTAATATTAGAACATTTAAACAATTACGGATTTAAAATTCTAAATGGTAATTTATCAACCTGATAATTGAACAACGGATCCTTTGCACAATCAATCAAGACAATAATTCTTAATAAAAACAGAAGATATATAAATAGTAAAAAAGTAAAAGAACAATGAAAATTATTTAGATCTCACAATCCTTGAAGAACCAAAACTTCAATTATCCTTCAGTTGGAACAAAAGTATTTAGCTACTCATAATTGAAATAAAACTAAAAGAAAATAAAGATGAAAACTTAATGTAAAACTTGATCCACTTATGAAAGCCCTAGCTCCCCTTTTATAAGGATTTTCCTATTATAGATAAGGAAGTTTCCCTTAAAGAAAATCTCACAAAAATAGGAGTTTTAAATGTCCTCATCTTTTTCTAAAGATAAGAATAAATCAAAAGAGTCTTCCTGCCGTCATTAAACTCTTTTTCCTTTGTAAATTCATAGCCTTAATTTAGGGTTACACGGACTAGTAAGGCGCGCCCACGCCTTAACTGAAGACTTCTTCTGCGGTAGTTCAGGATGAATAAACTGTGCCCACGCCTTACGCGAAAACCTCTTCTGGTCTTGCCAACTTCTTGAATTCTGATTTTTTTCCTCCTTAATTTGAGGATTTTGTGAATATCATGCTAATCATTAGATTTTGAACTTGTTTTATCTAAATCTTCAACCTAATCCACAAAATACGAAATATAATCAAAATCCATGATTTAAGCAATTTTAGTTATTCAAATATGAAGAAAATATCATAGAATATATGTCTAATATGCATCTTTATCATATATTAATTTAAAATTTTTAGAAGGAACGATTTCCTCCGCCTACTTCCTTCATTCCATCCATCCTTATGTTCGACAATTGAAGTTGTTCATTAATAAATGTTTGGATAAAACATTTCAACGGTTTACTGAGAAGAACTCAATTTGGATTAGTTCCAATAGCTTTTTTCTAGTTCGAACTAGCATTTTTGGGTACATACATTGATAAACAAACAATACAAGTTGAAGCCAAAATACTAAATTAAACAAAACATTCTCTTACATCAACACTTGGGTGTTAGTACAAGCATAACTTACTTGAGACATGGATCTACCTAAAGTTGTAGCTAGGACATGAGCTGTTTCCGGAGCGATTCAATGGCCTGGCCAGCAATTATTTCATACATTCTTTCAGTGGGATGAACAGCATCCCAGAATATATATTTTGATGCATCAGCACATGTGCTTATGCCTTTGCATGTATCTCCATATTCTACGGTCCCCGTCCCGCAACACCCTTTTGATGCCTCAATCAAACCTGTCATTTTTCAATTTTTCCCCACACAAAATTGATTAATATCACTACCTTATCTCATCTGCATCTTGAAACCAAATGAAGAAGAAATAGAAGAGATAGATTAAAAGCTAACCATGTTTTTCTGGGTTATTGACAGCATCCTGAAAGATGCCGTAAGCGTCAACGTAGCCGATTTTCATCCCTAATGCTTTCCTAGCGATACCCAACTTCGCATTTAGCTTGGCATTGAATGATGAGGAGAAATTGTTATACTTGTCCACACATGTGTTCTGGTTCATTAGAGTCTTGACTAGGGGCATACAACCCAGGGCAGGCACCCCAACTACCACTAATCGTGTAATTCCAAGACTGTGCATCGTCTGTAAGGAAAAAAAATAGATCTGTGAAAGTGTAACACTTGCAAGCTGCAACTAAGCTTCAAGTGTAATGAAAGTTGAGTATAATGGAATTTTAGTGCTCAACATAAGATATAGACTATGTTATAGCAGAAAGAGACTGGAAAGGCACCTTAACGTCTTCAGACATGCAAGAGGCCAAGTAATTTTGGTACTCTTCCAAAGTATACTGCTTCGGACGAATGGGTTCTAAGTAGTAGTTTTGAAGAAAATCATTTGTGCCCATACTCAACACAGCTACCGCTTTTTTTATAATGTTTTCTGCTTTCCTCGCCCCAGCTATTTGCCTCAATCGCATCTTATATTCAGTGAAATACTCCAGCTGCTTGGAAAGCGGCAGCACATTCTGTTTCACCAACAAAATCCAAAAGGAAAATATAATATACATATATATATATTTGTTAATGAGAGGGACGGAATTTAAAGACTGACAGAGAGATTGGCAGTGAGCTCATCATAACCAGAAGCAGCAGACGCGAAACTAACACCGTGTAAGATATCAACTGGTCTCAATCTCTTGTGAAGGAAGGGTCGAATTGCTTTAGAGTAACCCAAAGCTTCAGCTGATCAATTATTAATAAACAGAAGATGAGATCATCATTATTGAAACTAATCATGCATGAAACAGGGAATATTTGTTTTCACCGCTTTTGAATTGACAAAGATGTTTGGCCAAAGAATATTGAAAGTGATCGATTGAATACTTGGTTTCAAACAATACTAATAAGACGTTTGTCACCAGCTTCAAGCATATATGATTTTAACATATGAAAGCATCATTGGTAATTGAACCTTGGATTTGAAAAAGGTTTTACGTGATAGCGCCTACCTTAGCCGCGATTTTTGGTACCAAGATAAATATATACGGCAGTAAATTACCAATAAAATCAGTGGCTAGCCTTCCATTGCTGAAGCGTCCAGTTGGGCTAGCCTTCCATTACCAATAAAATCAGTAGCTTTACTTGTTGATTATCCACACCTACTGAGAGCAGTGGCATAACAGCGGCCAAGGCTAGTGCCAAAACAACTGCTCTCCTCGCCATTTTTGGACAGGGAACACCTCCGGTATGTTACTCTTTCACTGCTGTACTTGAGAAACTTAAAGAGGCCTCAGATGGACTGGTTTGTGTTGGTTGAAACATTTAACAGCATCCACCAAATTTGGGAGAATTGCTAGGTAGCAAACTAATTGCATTAAATATTGGCCTTTAACACTTACTGTAGGACTTGTAAAGTTGATAATGGACATTCAATTAACCAGATTTTTAAGTTTCCACTCGATGTAAACCACGTTGCAGCCTTGCAGGAAATGAGTAGGTAGATGTTGATCATGGATCCATTTTTTAAACAAGATAAAAATCAAGCTTTGTGTTTTGACGGGATATCATGAGTAATTAATACATGAAGGGTGCGTTTGGTTCACGGAATGTAAGATTATCAGTGGGAATAAAAGATTATCAGATAATAGGATTACTGAGAATGTTGTATTTTGTGTTTGGTTGGTTTAGCAGGAATGTAAGATTACCGTGTTTGGTTAAATGAATAAAAGATTATTGGAATGTATATTTGACCAAATTATCCTTATTATATATTTGTATAATATTACAAATTGTAAAATATTTATATATTTTCTTTAAAAAATTAAATTCATAATATTTATATAATTTTTTTACAAAATTAAAAATATAAAAAAGGTTTAATGAAAGGGTAAAAAAAAATTTTAACCCCTGAACTTCATATAAAATTTTAATTATAGACTTTTTTTTGTGAATCTAAAATAATTTAAGGATAAATTTGTAATTTAACTTTCGTAAAATTTTTATTATTCAATGACAGAAGAATGATATTTTTGAAAAAAAATAAAAATTTAAGGGTATTTTAGTCCAAAATACCGGTAATGTTACAATACCTAAGGGAATGGAAGTAATGACATTCCCGGTAATATACCCAAAAAAATCTACTATTAGTAATAAAACATTACCGGGAATGAGATTCCCGACCAACCAAACATGGAATGTGAGATTCCCCAAACACCCTCGAAAGATAAGTTATTAGGTGTGGTCCTTATTCGCCATGCCATTTTTTTCTTTTAAGGTCTATAGAACCAAACGCACTATTAATCTATTAATGTGTACATGATATGTATAATGCTTATTAAAGAGTAGAGCAAATAATTGAAGTGGACCCTCTCTTTGTCTAAAAACATATTATCTGAATTTCCATGTGGGTTAGTTGGAGATAATTAAAAAGGTGGAAACAGAGTAAAATGTTGGGTATCTAGCCCTCGGCATAGATATATATATAAAATCAATTTTGGTGGCTCCAGATCATCTAATTTCCCGGCCCTAAATGCCGGATTGGTTCTAACCAGAGGTACTCTTTGGTTTAAACCGGTCTCGCCAGCTCCCACGATATATATGTTTTAAAAGCCCCTTAATACCTTATTTTGAATTTAAATTAGACGAGACTTACAAAAAAATATAATTAGAAAATATAATAATAAGTTTTGACTAATCCAAAAAATTATAAGTTTCGACTAATTTAAATTTTTTAATTCTTGATTAATTCATTAAAAATATTTTGTATAAGTGTAGATGATATATTTATATGATACATGTATATGTTACATATAATATAACTCTTCGAAAATATTTTTTTTATTTTTTTAATAATTCATAAGTAATTATTTTATAACCATATATATTCAATTTTTTTTAAAAATGATAATAATTTTATTATTTTTTATATGTATATTTAATTTTTAGTGATTTAATTTTTATTTTTATATTTAATTTTTTTTATTTGAATAATTTTTATTTATAATTTAAAATATTTTTATTTTTTATAAAATTAAATAAGCTTTGAATTTTAAAAAAAATCAATTTGCCCCTCGAATAAAATTAAAACTCAATTTAGTCTATCTGTCATGTCTGTCGCTACATCATTAACCACCATGAATTGTCATGTCAGTAACGTGAATCACAATGTCAGCACCGTGAACTGTCATGTCAGCATTGTAAAAGCAAGAATGGAAAACGTTGATCAAAGGCCACATTAAATTTATTTTCTAAGCATTGAGAGAAAAAATAATAAGAGAAACATTGATTTTTTTAAAGTACATAACTTTTTCCATAAATATAAATATCAATTTTTTATATAGACACAAATCTAAAATATTTTCAAACTTAAAAATACTTTTATCAATATTCACATATTTATTGTTTTGGTGTATATGTTAAAAATAATTAAAAACTATTTTATCAAACTCTTAAATTAAAAATATTCACATATCTATTATTTTATCATATATATTACAAAATCATAAAGTATTTCAGAATAAAAATAATAGGGTAAATTACATTAGATACTATCGAACTTTAGTATTATATCATTTATGTCATTGAACCTCCAATTTTGTCAATTATAGCATTAAATTTTAAATTTTCGTTCAATTGTACCACTAAACCATTAAATCATTTGATGACGTGATTGACGGATGATGACGTGATTGACAGATGATGATATGACTGACGGATGTTGACGTAGACATATCATCGAAATAATATTGTTTGGATCCGACTATTAATGATTTAACAACCCAATGGTATAATTAAAATGCAAATCAAATTCAATAGTATAAACAATACAAGGCCTAGAATTTAGTGATATATGATGTAGTTTACCCAAATAATTATATCAAGAATCAGAGCAGATAAATCAGCGAGAAGCAAATATTTACAACTTTGATTTTTATCATTTCTATTTCTTTTCAATGTTTTCCGAGTGCAATTGTTGTGAAGGCGTTTTCTAGAGTACACATAACAATAGCTACTTCAGACTTTGACAATAAATGTGAAGATGCTTCTTTATTTTGAGGGCCAAATATATCCATTTTGGTGGTTTATGGAAAGGAAATAGTAACTTAAAAATGAAACAGGAGCATCAGGTAATTAGAGTTTAATGGTAAAATCTACCAAATTTCCTGTTAATATAATTCAAAAATGAAAAACAAAACCTTTGAGAGGTAATGGAAATAAAATCCCCATCTCCCAAGCCCCGATTCAATTCTCCAGACATTCACACAATCCCAATCAATAAATAAAAGACGAGCCTACAACTCAAAGGGCAATCTAAAAGGGGGGAAAACCAAAAACGATAGAGGAAACAATAAGCTTCACATGTGCGTACTACAAACTTTCCGTTTCTCTCCATGTCTTCTTCCTCTTTCGGCACCAATTGAGCCAATTTGTCCATAGCCGACAAGAAGGCCTGGAAGAACTTTGCCTTGTCCTGACCCAAAGATTGGACTATAGGCTTGGTCCTCGGGTCCAAAAACAGACCTTGGTCCGAAGCTAACAGCCCCATTTTGCTCTGTAAATTTGCATAGTAAGCATGGTCGAATACGAATGGGGTGGTGACGTCAAATGGAGCCACAATGTCAGTATTGCCACCAACTTGTGGGCATGACATTTTCAGGGCCTTTAATAGCCTGGGATCAATGGAAGGGTCAGCCTGCTTTGTGCCTTTGTAATTGTAGAGTCGATCCAAAAAGTTGTTGCAGTGGGCAAAGCCGATAGTGTGCGCACCCGAGAGCACAACCAGGTTCTGGATAGTTAACCCCTTTGAGCTAAATAGTGTGATGAGTTGATCGACGCTTGAATTTGCATGTAGTAGGTTGTAAGGTACCCTGGATGCCATTGATATTTTACCATCCCACCTTCCTGTCTTCACCGGATAATAAGGTCCCCCAGCCTGGAACCACAATTGATTTTCCAAGTCAGATCATTACAAAACTAATGCCCATTAAATATTTTAAAGAGGAATTATAAAACCAACAGATTAGATTTTATTAACATTGATAACGATATAATAAAATCAACGATCATGGATACATAAAGATCGAAAGTCAAGATCGGGCAGGACAAGCATAGCGGTAAACTATTTTGTCTGTCATTCAATGAACAAGTTTAGTTGCAGACAAATTAGGCACATAAAAACATGAATATCTTTCGTGTCTTATTAGAGCACAGCGTGAACTGCTCAAGTATAGCTGTACTGCAGAAAATAAGTAACATAAATAATCTTCACCAATCCTTCGGCTCTAGAAGGAACAGCCAAATTAGAAAACATGCAAACAAATATATCAAATTCATTTTTTGTTTGTTTTTCCTTCCTGCTGTAAACAGAGTTAATATCAAATGCATGAGAAGCAAATCGACAGCAAAAATGAGGGGAAATGGTTGAACTAACAAAATGGATAAAATCTCTGGCTGCTATTGCAAGAATATCAGCGCAAGAAACAATGCCAGGGCATTTGCTCTCGACCAATGTCTTGGCTCTCGTTATTGTATCAAACCCCTCTGTTCTAAGGTCCTTGTTGTCCTCTGCATCTTTCTCAGCTAATACTTTACTTCCAGGCTGTGTTGCTATAAGGATAGACGCATCGCAGCCCTACAAAATATAACAGTAATCCATGCAAAAAAAAATTTGATCAGCTAAATCTTATCTGGTTGGCAATCCCAGGGACCACTGCATGCATGTGTAAGAACTAAGAACTAATCAACAAAGCAGTCATGGAAGAGGAGACGAATAGTTGCAGGTGAAGAGACAGGGGCTTCTTTGAATTGTTGGGAGGTGATGGCGCCGACGAGTTGCTCAACCTGAGGGCATGATTTTGCATAATAATTGACAGAAATCTGGCGTGGGCGTTTCGCATTTGTGGTGATGGCTAGGCAATTGGAGGAGTATAGGGTTACAAAGAAAATGATGAAACATATGAAAACGAAGAAAGAAGAAGAAGATGGAGAAAGTACAGGCATAATTGTATAGTCTGTTTCGGTCGGCAGCTCAGGACAAAGAATGCAATAGTAGTGGAGAATATAAAAGTGTTAGACCAGGTGTAGAAATGGTTGGAGTGGGACAAATTGCCTCAACCATAAGCCAAGATAATCAACTCCCGTGAAACCCAATAGTACATGAATGGTTGGGGAAAAGGGGGGTTTTCAGGTAGCAATAGATTGCCCTTTGACACTATTCTGATTTA